AGGATAAAAATAACAAATAAGATTGCACGAAATATCAAAGCAGATAAGGCGGTTTTACGCACGCGTTTCAGAAACACCAAAAAAAAGTGGCTGGTGTGAAAAAAAACACAAAAAATCACCTTAAAAAGGGCAAAAATACATCATATAACGCGTGCGCGTAAAACAGGACATTCTCAAAGTAAAAAAAATCATTCGAGTTACAAAATGCCAACCCTGTAGGAAAGACTTAAAGCTGTAAACTTTATATTTAGACCGTAGCTATATATGCTTTCATGGCCAAGGCCTCCACACTGGATCCGTCATGGGTGCGAAGACCGCGGAGGCCACAGTGGGGAACAGCATCCCGCTGCTGTGGCCGTGCTGGTGATGCTGAGAAGACGGGGCTGCTGGGTCCCCGGCCGGAGACCTTTCCTTATGCCCTGAAGTGGAGGCGTGGGTCTGGGGCTCAGGAAGCGTAAAAGAAGCCTTAGCCGGTTCCCCGCTGGTTCCCCCTGACTCTTGGCTCTTGCTGGCTACGAACTGACTGACCCTCAGCAGACAGGACCTCATGCCGTCGTGGTAGCTCTGCTGGTGGGAACAGGTAGGCCTCGGCTCACTGGATTGAACCCCCGTCGTGGCCTTTTGACCCTTCTTCACCTTCCTCTCTGTCTTCAGGAACTCCACCACGCTCTCCAGGATCTCTGCCTTCTCCGCCTTTGGATTATTTAGTTTCTGTATCCAGAAATCAGAACCACAAATCACTCACCAAATAATTGATTTTTACAATGACAACTGCGTAAAATCCTCTCTAACCAACTGAGACCATGACGCACTGACGCACCTCATTCTTGGTGCTCTCGAGCATCAGAAGCCGTAAAGTCTCCAGACTGTGGTTGATGCGGTCCCGTCTGCGTTTCTCCATCATGGGTTTGGACACCTTGGAAGAAAATAAATAAATAAATTCAAACACCTGAGTGACAACTCTGATCATCATTTTGCTTCTTACTTGACGTATGAAACTTACCCTTCTCCTGCGTCTGGGGGAACCCTGTGGATAAGAAAAGGCCTTCATGCTTCTAGCTCGAGTCCCTCTGAGCTGTAAATCGTGACTGGATGCACGGAGAGTGTGAATTTGTTGGTTTTTGCACGTGTAACTCCGCCCCCGCTGGACACGCCTCCTATTCAGCAGCTCGTGGCCTTGACAACGAAAGTCACAGATATCCTTTATAATTATGTATTTATTTACACCTGCATGTGAAGGTTGTGGTGCCTTCACTCATCACCATTTTATGGGCAAAGCGTTGAGAGTTGACTCCAGTCTGAAAGTCTCACAGGCTTTTTAGATGAAATCATACAGAACTCCTAAACTTTCCTACAAATCCTAAAACACAATCAATTTTATAGGAAACGTGTCTGCTTCTGTTATTTTTCACAATCCTTCCAAAACATTTTCCCATCAGATTTTTTTTGTTTCAGTCCTATAGTTGTTATTTTCTAGTAGATTTTACATCACTGTTTAGACAATTAAAAGATGTTCTTCCTCTCTACAGGAAGACTCACCAGAATGAGCTTCTTTTTAAACCCCAAAGACTGAAGACACTTTAAATGAAATCTTAAAATAGTAGAAATCAGGCTGGCAGACAAACTGTAGTTTCATAACAGTAGGAGAAAGTAACATTAAATAAAAGGAGTAAAATTGTGCAATTTTACAGTTGAACATTATAAAACAACAGATAAAAACAAACAAACAACTGTTACAGTTTTGGCTTTAAATGAACCTCTGTCCTGTGATTTTAGTTATTACCTGCAATCTAACTAATTAGAGAAATTCTGTAAAAAAACAAACAAACAAACAAAAAAAACCCACTTTATTTTACCATCTTTTCATCCTTATAAATGAAAATATTTTAAAATGCCAACACATATATCTGTATGTATACTTCTTTTGTTGACTTAAAGGCAATAAAATGGTCCAGTTTTACAGGTAAACATTGTAAAACAACTAATTACTAGTTGTAAAGTTTTGATGTGGACATTATTTACAGTCTTGGCCATGTTTTCTTTTCTATTTTATTCTTTTCCTTAGTTAGTATATAAATTGTTTTTCTGCGATTTTTCAGGGTGATTTAAAAAAAAAAACAGAACAACAACAACAACAACAACAACAAATTATAGTTAAAATGTTTAAAAGAAATGTCCATTATTTACAGTTTCATGATGTCTCTTTATTTATTTCAGGTGGAGAAGAAGACTTTATTTCCACTGGCGCCACTTTATCCTCAATCAGAGTAAAGGTGTGGTGAGTTCAGCATTAAACAGACTTCCTTTATCTCTTTAGTTTGAACTTTTTTGTGTATGTTAACGTGACTTCCGGGACAAAACATTAGAATATAAATAGCTGCTACTGCATTTCTGGCCTACTAGTATATTTCCCTCTAGAATTAAAACATTTTCCCTCCCAGTTCTCTATTGAAAAACTTATGCAACTCAGATGAACCCCCGCCACCCCCCATATCCCAGAGCAGGTCTTCTCTCTGTGCTGCGAAACCAAATTGCCAGACTCACACCTATTGTGTTGAGTGAATGAGTCGGTAATTATCTTTAGCGGGTGTGGTGCCAACACCTCAGCGCTGCTGAGCAGCAACTCTCCGTGCAGGCGCTGCTTGGCGGTTTGATATCCTCACAATTTCGCTTTCAGATCGTTTCAAAGGGGCGCAGAGTGAAGGTTTTGGGGTAGCTTTCTGCGCACTGCATTTATGGTCGCCCTGATCCTTATAATAGGCTAAAGTGTGGAGATAACACCGGGATGATCGGCTCACGGGGATCCCGGGGAGATTAAGTGGCTTTTCAGGGGCAGTGATACTTCCGTTTAAAATCAAAGAGAGGGCGATTAGTGGAGGATCAGAGCCCGTTGATGGTCACTGTGGAGGCTCAGGGGGGAGAAAGCCTTTGTAAGACACACTAGAAGCGTGATGTTGTAGATACAGCAAGGAAAACTTATATTTAATTTAGAGAAAATGCAACTAATTCACATTTTGGATCTCGCTCTCTCTGTGCGTAAAAGCGCACAGGATTTAAGCCACGTGGACCCGCCCCGTAAATAAGCCTTATAATGTGTTCTTCTGAACCTGTGATGGAAACTAATTGGTTTAAAACGTGTCCTTTGTTGGCAGAGAAATGAAGCGTTCACTTCTAATATCGTGACTCCTCGTGTGTGTCAGCCACACTCACAAAGGGAAGACAGAAGAAGCGTAAAAAAACAGCCAGAGCTGACAGGGACGTGTGTTGCGGTGGAGACGACAAGTGGTCTGATGTTGAAAGAGAGCTGCTGTGTGAAGTCCAAACATCAGGTATCAAACCGACCTCAGGCCCGCCGCAGCGCGCACACACTTCACACTCAGGCGCAATAATTGTCCTCACACTTTGGCGCAGCAGCAGATGGACGCGATCTGCGCCCTTTTGTTCCACGATGCGGCTCAGTTACTGTGCAGTCAGTGCGATTATTATTATTTTTTACCTAAATCTAGTTTATTAACAGCCAAATTCAGCTTTTTCTGATGTGCGTAAATGCAACCACAGATTTATTTTTTTGTCTTTTGTAGTAAACCTCCCTCTTTGGTCCATGCGCTCATTTGGCCTTTTTTTTATCACTTAATGCAAAGTGCTGATGCCTCACACACCATAAAAAGTCCTCATAGCTGCTCACTTTCTCACCTCGCTTCTGTTCCCACGAAGGAGACGAGAAGTTTCCCATCGTCTCACTTCACCGTCTTCTGGGAAACCACCAAAATCTGCATTTACTCATCAAATCAGGGATACAGGACACGAGAATACCAACAATTTTACGCACTTTTTTTTTTTTATTTTTTTGCTCCACCAACTACATGCTGACTTTTGAGAAATGTGTTTTATTTGTGAGGCTACATGACATAAACATACATGTTATCATTTGGTGCAGCATATTTTTGAATATTCCAAAGTAATCCTACAAAATAAAACACTTTATGTTGTTTTTATTGCTGATAAGAAAAAAACCAAAACAACTCCAGATAGTTTCACTTCATTAAACATATCGTGTCGTCGTGTTAAACAGTTTCAGTCTCTTCCGGACCCATAATAAATCCGTTCTCTGATCAGTGTCGTCACTGCCACCTGTCAGCCAATCAGAGGCAGCAGCGAGTTCTCGTTTAAAAGCTCTCGCAGGACTCAGGAGGCGTTTGAAACTTCTGCAGCTTTCTGTCAGGACGTTTGGATCCAAACTCTGCAACATGACGAGGAAACGACAAACCCAAAGCATGGATGATGGCAAGAGCAGGAAAAGGGTAGGGACCGCTTTCAATTTTTATTCACTTAGAAGAGGGATTACTTTTTTTTATTGAGGCACAGTTTTCAGTTTTAGATTCACGACAAGAAATCAGTTATCGAATGAGCTCTTGGGTTGCCAGGTTTACGATAATTTATCTTTTAGCTTTTATTTATTCATGAACCATCTGACTTCTGACCTTCTTGGGGAGAAAATTGAACCTCTAAACAAGTAACTCACATTAAAAACTTTAAGCTCGGTGGCTTCATAGAAACACTTCTGGCTCCTTTAAAAAAAACAAAAAAAACAACCTGGCAACCCAGAAGCTAAAACATCCATATTAAGCAAATGCCTTAATAAAGGAACTGATGCAGCATATATTGCAGGTTTTTCATGCATAGACACATTTTTGCCAGCACCCAAATTCATCCAAATGATTGCAATTCATAATAATAAAAAAACAGCAATTCAATTTTCTATACAGTTTTATTAAGTTGATTTTTATTTTAAAAAATGTACATATAAACACATTTTTGTTCACGAAATGCTAAAAAATAGCAGGAAAATTCAAATATTTGTGTCAAAAAGAGTCGCACAGACTCACTGCCTTCACTGTAGGTGGACTGATTATGCTTCAGATAAGATAAAAATAAATAAGAAGATAAAATAGACCCTTTTTTAATATCCCACAGTGAGGTGATTTGTAGTGTTGCAGAAGCAGAGGGGAAAGTGCAGACATGTGGGGAACATATAGAGTGCATTGGTCCATTCTGATGTTGTATATTTTTTACACTCTTCTACAAAAAAAAAAAGATCAGCTTTCTCGTGCTTATTCGCCTCCTTCTAGATCCTGAAGCCGGTTGTGGAGAAGAAGAGACGAGATCGAATAAATCAAAGTCTGGCTGAGCTGAGAAGTTTGCTGCTGAATTCCACGTGTGATCCGGTGAGTCACGTCTAACAATCACGTCTAACGTCACAGGCATGCAAAAGTCATAAACGCAGCGATGAAATGCAAATCTCCCCCTTTTTTTTTTCAACTGTTCTTACCAACAGCGACTGCAGAATCCCAAAATAGAGAAAGCAGAGATTCTGGATTTGACTGTGGAGTATCTTCAGAAGTGGACAGATGGGAGGAACCAGAGCAACGGTTGGTCAAGAAGAATCGTTGACTGTGTTGGATTTTCAGAAGAAACAAAAATTGTGTATTAATGTGGCACTTTTATCTGTGCTTTGACTCATTGCAGATTCCAGTAACAGTCGGATGAAGCCTCCTCTGGTGAGACTCGGCCACTCAGACTGCAGCCCTCCTCCTCGTCCTCCTCTTCCTCCTCCTCCTCCTCCTTTTTTCTTCAGCATGGAGAGCGCAGGTTTCCAGCAGTGCGTGGCCCAGCTGAGCAGCTACATGCACCGGATACCGGCGGCTCAGAGGGCAGGGCTCATCGAGAGGCTCAGGCTTCACTCGGAGGGCTGGCAGCCGAAGCCAGACTTCCACCAGAAGGCGGCCGAGGCGCCCGACGCTGCTTCCGTCGATGCCATTTGCACATCTGACACCAAAGAAGAGTCTGTCAGGTTGCTTTTTCCATCCCACTCCCCCTTCCAGCCTCACTCCTGCTCCACGCCTGCCCACGACTACCTGTCCCCTCCTCCCTCTCCCTGGTTCTCTCCTTCCTCTTTCCCGCCATACGCTGCCTCCCCTCCTTTCCCGTCATTTGCCTGTCACTTCTCCTTCCCCCCCAGTCTCTCACCTCCGTCCTCCAACACCTCCTTCTTCAGTTTCTCACCCACGCTTCCTCACTCCGGCCTGCCCGGCCTCCACGTTCCCCCCAACCCCGTCCACAGGGAGGGGCTGGTGCCAAACTCCTCCTTGGCCATGTGGAGGCCTTGGTTTTGATTTTGGAGCAGAGACTCGAAAGAAAGCTGACAGCAGAGACACCTTGTGGGAACAAACTGCAACTGTGGAGAGGACGGAAGACTCTTCATGGCAGGAATGTACAGTGTAAATATTATTAAAGTTGCCTATATTTCGTATTTCTCATTAATAAATCTCATACTTGAAAGTGTCGGTTGTGCATTTATTTTTCTAATCACATCCCCTGAGTTCACTTGTGTCCACGCAGGTTTATGAATTTAATACTTTCATGGGAATAAAACTGCATTTCCAACACAGATATCATCTTCATGTCCTCTGGAACACTTTCTATGTGAGGCTTGTTTTTTAAACTTATTGCACAGTTGTAGATGTATAACTTTTTAAAACATTTGACTGGTTACAGCAGAAAAGAGAATAAAGAGACGCCCCAATCTGGTACAGCTGATTGCAGTCATCATTATTTAATGCTTGTAACCACAGACATGGTTTGCACAATAAAAAAACAACTTTCACCAGCATCTCTTCTTTGCATCTTGTCTGGAACGCTGGTCTCTTGAATAAAAAGTCACAGCTGGTGTTTAAATATTAATGCAGCTGCAGTCATGGAGGTGAAATTAAAGGTATTTATAGCTACAAGCTTTCAAAGGGAGCCAGGAATCAAAGGCCAACAGGAGAGCAATAAAGTCGCCGGCTGCAGACCGAAACTGTCGCTGGGTTTGTCTGAAGACAAAAGGACACCAAGTGGACCGACGAGTGGATCAGAGACACACTTAAACCTGATCTTCCTGCCATGAACTCAGAGTGTCGATACTCACACCGTGCCGTCAGAGGAGCAATCAGCCACCGATAGATGTCGTCAGTCGTCTTCAGGACACACGACCAGCAGAGGATGCAGTATGAGGCAAACACCCAGCTGAAGGTGCAGTTAGGCTGATGTTTGAACGCTTAGAACGCAATAATTCAAGTTCAACAATTATTGAATTAATAGAAGGAATGCACGATATATTGGCGACCACATCTGTGTTTTTCCCATGTATCGGTATCGGTCCGATGAACAAATGTACTCGATGTGAAAAACCGATGATCATCTAATATCAGTGCCTTCGTCTCTATATTTGATATTGCTGCTATTTCACAGATGTTTTTACTTAAATGATCCTCGACTTGAACGTTAAATATGTTAAAATATGTTTAAATATGTTTAACTTTTGTTACGTAATGAAGAAGACTGTGTGTTCTAATCTGGTGTGGGCTTCTTTTGAATAGTGTCTCACAGTTCTTGCTTACATTCATTTTTCGGTGTGAACAAAAATGAAATATCGACATCAGTAATATCAGTTATTGGCCACATCAGAAACCTTAACATTGGACATCGGTATTTGCCAGAAATTTTAATATCATGCATCACTAATTAATAGGAATTTAAAGAAATATTAACACCGTGTACAAGTGGATGTTGTTTTTACAGCGATACAGTCAGTCAGTCATTTTGTTTATTGTACTTAAAATGGCTAAATAATTCATTTATATAACTTTGTTTACTGACTTGCAACACTTTAAAAAAAATCTATATGCTGCTGTAGTAAATCTACATTTTATTGTTTACTATTGAGCACTAATAACCATTAATAGCTGCAGTTCAGAATGAATGTTGACCTGCAGGGATTCTCACATGAATGCTGGTTTGAACCATAAACCCGATTCAACCTGATGAAATCAACCGTTGCATTGATTATGTTATATTGACTTTCCTGCCTAGATTCAATAATGAAACATCGTCATGAACAGGATTCGAACCTGTGCGGGGAAACCCCATTGGATTTCGAGTCCAACGCCTTAACCTCTCGGCCACCATGACTACAAAGACAATGATAAAGACTCTGTGACACAGTTTGTGGAAATTGACCCCATGACCCTCGTGAGGATTAAGCGGTGTATAGATAATGGATGGATGGAAGTCTTGTATCACTGAAAATCATTGCAACATAACCAAGTTATACAAAAACAGCTCTTCATCCGCTGCATGGTGGCTTAATAGCCGTGGCAGTGCTGAACTAAAACAAGGGGGTGGGCGACCAAATCATTAGCTGGTGCAACCAACAAAGAAAGTTGGCAGCACCAGTGCTACCATCGGAAACGCTCGTCTGGAGCCCTGCTACATGTGTTTTACTTTAAGATAAAGGCATGCACAATAGTTGTACATATAATAATTAACAATCAAATGCAGAGACAATTGTTTAACAATATGTTTAGGAGTCGTTACATTTATACAGTTGACACAGTTTGTGGAAATTCTGAAGAGGACCAATGATATAGAAAGTCCTACCCTGCAAGTTGACAGGATTAGATCTTTGTGTTCATTCCGTATAAAACCCTGGAAGTCTGAATCTGTGTTTGTCAGACAGTCATCAGTAAACTGCAGGTTCCAGTTGGGAACACTCAGTCATGCTGCTGACCGCTTGTTTTGCTCATGATGTATCTTATAGCATCTTAAAAATGCTCAACGAAACATAATTATGTAAAATGGAGAGGTTGGAAGATTTAAAATCAAGTTTCTAAAATGTCCAAAAGATGAAAGTGTGTTATGGTTTGAACCATGAACCCAATTGAACCTGATGAAGTCATGATGCAGTCAACATTAAAACTGCCTCATAATTAAGCAGGATTTGTTTGAAACGTCTCTTGTTTTTATGGTGAACTTGGATTAGATTCACTTTTGTTGGATTGAAAGTTGAAAAATGTGATCCTGGACTTCAAACTTACTTTTGAGAAGGTTTAACTTTATTAAAATAATTAAGTTCCTCACAGAAATTTAAGAAATAGATTCAAGTTTATTATTAATATTTTTAAAGCCGTTGAGTTTTGGTGGGCGGTGACGTGTTTTATCAACACACTGAATGATCTGAATCATCAGCAGC